TTGTATGTTCTGTTCTCTTGTAAATAGTGTAAAATGTATGTTTGTACTTGGAATAGTATAAATGTATGTTTTCCATGTTTGTAAAACTATATTTACTCGAAAAATAGTATGCATTTCTCATGTGAGAATATCACAGTGTGAATGTAATGGAAAAATGAAGATTTACAGTAGTATTGTATAAAATACACTACTGACGCAATAATTACCTTGAAAACCAAACTGGTTAATTTAGGTTAAAAGGTGATAAGGTTATAACCATACTTCATAGACTAGTGTAAAACACGACGGTCTTCAGGTGTGACAACCCGTGATTTATTCCGTCATTGTAACCCGTTTCCGTAAATAAAGCCGTTACGTTCCCAATTTTTCCATTAGCTTTGTTTTAAATTAAATTATTGCGACTTCTATTTTGGTTTCATAAGTGTCGGGATACATTTTAAACATTAAAATATTTTCCAATATTCGTTTGGAAAATATTTAGTTTCATCTAAGTCGTAATTACGGTAACTTAATCAGGTAAGACGAAAAGCCCCATTTAACATCAGTATCAGGTAGGTTTCCACTGGGTCTCAAACCCAACCCCTATATAAAGGTTGGGTGGACAACTTTTGAAGACTTTTCCCCACCTCATAACTTTATCTCACTACTCTCTCTCTAAAACTCGAAATTGAGCCAAAAATCCCCCTTTCAAGCTTCATTTTGGTAAGTAATCTATCCTAGCATGTTTCTAAGCTTGTTTATCATTCAAATTTGTGTTGAAACTACCCAAAACACCCATGAACATGTGTTTACGGTTAGGAACACCTCCCAAAACCGTAAACACCTCTAAAGAGGGTTTTGAAGCCCCAAAACTCCTCCAAATCACTTCTAGTGCTTAGTTAAGACCTTTGGACTTGCAGGAATGGAATTAGAGCACCAAAATCGAACTATTTGATGTATGGACATGATTTTACGGCCCAAGAACATGCTTGGATCTTAAACCCTCATTCATGGACCATAAACACCTTTTTAAGGTGTTAAATTGCCCTTAAACACCTCCATAAGCTTCCATGAGTGCATAGAACCTTAGAATCCTTCAAGAAATGCACCAAAACATACATAAATGGGTCAAACTTGACTTTATGGACCAAGAACATTCTTGGACTGTAAAAACACCTCCTTAGACCATAAAATCCTCCAATGGGTGTTAAAGTGCCTTTAACACCTTGTATGGCTTGGAATTGGACCTAGAACTTTGTATATTTAACCTACAACCACTAAAACCCATGAATCATGGACAACCATGTGTTTATGGTTGTAAAATCATGTGTTTATGGCAGTAAACTCCCAAGAACATCTTCATAGACTGTAAACTACGTTTCCAAGGTCAATTCAAGTCCGAAACACTTCCTAAGCCATGGAACCAACCCTAGAACCTTCCCATGTGCATTGTAATTGACCTAGGACCATTAAATCACATTAAAACATGACACATAAGAGTTTATGTCCGTAAACTCATAGTTTTCTACCGTAAACTCCTCAAATGGTCCTTAAGGTGTTCTAATCTCATTCAAAAGCCTTGAAACCAAGTCTAGCATCAACCCTCAAGTGTTATAAGGCCATTTAGTAACCAGGAAGACCCCCACCATGAGTTTACGACCGTAAAATCATGGGGAGTTGGTCATTTGGACCGTAAACTCCTAAAAGAGTTTACTATTGAAGAGTAAACTCAATAACCAAGCCATACACATCCATAGATGCTACCCGGGTCACTCGAAACACTTGAATTGAAGTGTTTTCGCATCTATAAGTGTTTACTCCTATCTAATTAGTGATTCAAAGTCTAATTAGATACAATTATGTATCATTTCATATTACATAGGAACCTCACGCGTTATCAAGCCCAGAACTGACACTTAGCATCCAAACCGACTCGTTTCTCGACTGGTGAGTTCATACCCCAACGCCTTTTCCGTGTTTTTCAATGTTTTCAGGGGGGGGGGAGGGGAATACAAGCAAAATATAAATGTTTTCTAAACTTAAAAATGATGAAATTCTATAAATATATGGCAAAATTTTAGATATCTTTACCCCTTATGTATTATGCAGAGCGTAAGGGATGTTTTATCAAATCAAATGACACGAATTTCAACTTCGGTAAAGGAAACAATCAAACCAATCAAATTATTATGGGAATAATTTGGGATCTTTAGCTCTTGTTTTACGGACACAAAATTCATGCAAAGTTAATATATAAACTATGTCTGATTCAGTTTATCTCTTTTTAGTCTAGAATATTATACCAGATAATTTGTTGTGTTAAACTGTATTACTGTATGATGTTTGATAACTACCGAGTATACCGTGAATAATTTAATACTAGCTTGTGAGATCTATCTTCATTAAACCCTTCGGGTTATCAGTAAATCCTCCCCGGAAGTGTAACCAGAGTCCCCTGTAGGGAGAGCGTGGAATTTGTGAATAGATCTATTCGGGACTGACAATCCCACACCTAAACTGCTAGCTACAGTTAGGCGGGCACGGATGGGGTGAAAAATTCTAGATATCGTCCGACGCCTGAAGAAAGTCAAGGAGGTCTGGTGGTCATATTAGCATGGTTACCCGACTCAGAATACGTATTAATATCAAAATATAAGTTTATTCACAGATTGTTATATCTATCTTTCATCTATTACGGGATGGTATTCCCATGGGTTTTAATAGTTTTATGTATTAAAACTATCTAGTACGGGATGGTATTCCCATGGTTTTCAATCTATAGTTTTACGTATTAAAACTACCTACTGTGATACAGGATGGTATTCCCATGGTTTTCAATCTAGAGTTATACGTATTAAACTGTCTTAATAAGAAAATATGGGATTTTCTTGGATAACAACTTCTTCAGAAAACTAAAGGAAACATGTTCATTTTCAGAAAACAAAACACTTATAAACTCACCAGCTTTATGTTGATTTTCAAACTGCTTGTATTCTCAGGTCCGCATTAGAAAGGTACCCGCAGTCTTTTGGAGAAGACGGAGCGTTTTAGAACACTCGTCTTACTTTTGTTCAAACTCTTGTATAGATAACATGTATTACTTTACTTTTAAACAAATGTAATTACTCATATGTAATGTAATGTTTCATGTTTACTATGCTTACTATGTACATTGGTTGTGATACTTACATGACGTCCTCCGCCCCAAAACGTTTTCGCCATCGGTTTTGGTGTGTGACATCAGGTGTCGAAAATGATAAGACATTTGTCACCAGTAGACCTGTAGGTCCCACTATAGCTAGCATCAAGGTGTAGGATGGTCAATCCCGTATAGATCTATACACAAACACATGCTCTCCCTCTAGGATACTCTGGTTATGAAACGTGACATAGCAAGAATATTGCTATGCCATGAAATAGTATCTCACATTTTAGTTATCTTGTTCTTGTTGTAGTATGTAAGTTCCTTCTTGTTCTTGTAAATGAATATTGTACTTTTTAATGAATAGTAATAGTATGTATGTAGTGACTCATGTATTGACTCTCTATTTTAGAAATAGTATGTAGTGATCCTTTAAACTATATCTATTATAGTTTACTAGTATGTTTGTTTGAACTGCTACTGATTTGTAGAAAAGACTCATTTGCCCACTGTATGCAACTGAGTTAAGTATGTACTTTGAAAATGGAGTTTGATATTCATGTATATATTTAGCAAGTATAACTATGATTTAGCCAACAGTCGAACTAGTGATCCTACCCTATGCCCACAACCAAACAAGGAACATGAGTCAAGGTATTTAGCAATAGTCCTAAGTTCGTTAAAGCATACTTATACATAAATATATAAACGTATGTGATTTTGATAATAAACAACTATCTAAATAAGTTTAAAAGAGTTTTTGAAATGGTTTTAACAACATTTATAAGCATAAGAAATCCTTTGTTTGTTTTTTTTCACATGTAAATGTTAACACAATTGTATTGTGTTCTACTTGTATTCCCCCCCCCCCCCCAAAAAAAAAAACATTGAAAAAGGTAAATTATAGCAGTATGAACTCACCTTAAGTGAGTGATTCGATTAAATGTTTGATGCATGATGATTGTCTCCACTAGATAGATCCTGAGAAAAACAAGTCCTAAAATCATATCACATAGTATATCGACATACAGTTAGTGAATATAGCCTCAAATGTGTAAATGAAACAACCTATGATGTAAGGAACACTTACAAAAGAAGTGTTAAAACCAAAATCAAGTGGCTGTTTGGTGTTTACGGCCAGCCTTCGGTGTTCACGGCTGCAAAGGGGGTTTTCAGCCTTTGAAGATTCAAGTGTTTTCGGCTGGAACTCAGTGTGTGTTATTGGTGTTTCTTGATGAAATGAAGGAGATGTCGGTGTTTACGGCGGTAAACTCAAGAATGAAGGGTGATTGATTGTTAAGTGAAGAACACTAGATGTTCTTAATAAGATCTGGAGGTAGATTGGATGATATTTGGATGATAGATGAAAGAAAACATGCATTTTCAGTTGAAGATCTTGGGAGAAAAAGTCTTGAGTTTTCGGCTAGAATTGAAGAAGTGATGAAGTTCTATATATATATATATATATATATATATATATATATATATATATATATATATATATATATATATATATATATATATATATATATATATATATATATATATATATATATATATATATAAGGGAGGGTTTGTGGTCCGAAGAAGGTTCATGGCCCGAAGGAGTTCACGGCCGAGAACGAGGGACGTTTACGGCTGTGAAGGCTCGTTTGCGGTTCGAGAGTTTATTGCCATGCAAGGGTTTGCGGATAATGCGAAGGTCCTCAGTCCTAAATGATTTCCCTCCAAAACACACAACACCTAAGAATACTAGGTTTAAACACCTATAAATTCATTACCCTAACTATATTAAGAGAAAAACAGAAATAAGTTTTAGCTTTGCTTGATATGTTTGACTTTAGTTGACCAAGTTTGAATTTTTTTTACAAGATAGAAATTATGGGTTGTCACCACATCCTTTCTCTCCCCCTTGTGACACTTGCTTCGTAGGTGGAGCATTAGTTGGTAAGAGAAGAACCAACTTAAGGATGGGGGAAATCTCCGCTTTGAGATTAGCCTCAATAGACGAAATCAACTTAGAAATTGATTCTTGAGAAGCAAAAGATTGATTCGAAAGAGCAACTTTCAAAATGGATTCCATGATACTACTTAAGAATTTCTACAATTTAGAAAACACCTTCGAATCTTGCTCTGATTTCACATAAAGCTTCGTCAAATAAGCTGAATTCTATTAAACCAACTTCACAATGGCATAAACAAGAACATCAACTTTTCCATGAAGAACATAATAATATTCCTCTATCTTGTCAACCTCTTTGGCCATCTCCAATTTAAGTTCAACTATCTTGAGATCTACAAACTCTTTCATAATTTTCACATGATTAACAAAAAGTTCATGATGCTCCTTAGCAACATCAAGGAGCTTTTGAATCTCGTACTCGAATTTTTTGGCATGAACTTCCAGCCTTTCAACTTGTTGTTTCTAAATATTTGCCAACAAATTTCTAAGATGATTCTACTGAGACTTTAAAATGTACTCCATTTATACCCCAAAAAACAAGATTTTGACCCCCAGTATCTACTTGGATTTGTAAAACAAAATTGAGTTTATTGTTGAGGATCTTGAATTGTTTACCTGACATAATCATATTATCTGGAACATTATCCTCCAACGGGTCAAAATGTAAGTCTGCAAAAGAAACGATGATGTCATCATCATTCGGTGCCTCTTCTAGAACTATTATCCCTGCTTCAGTGGATTACGAAGAAAAGAGATTAGTAATGGGTTCATGCATTATGGTGGAATAAGTTGGTGATATGGTGGAAACAGGAAGTGAAGATGTGATATGTAAGGATAATGGTGGTAATGAAGTTGATGTGCCAAGTGTGGAAGTTTCGATGGTGGATGAAAGTATGATTGATGTAGGAATATTAGATGTTTCAAAGGTGAAGTACCAAAAGCTTCGTTTTACAACAGAGCTTCACTGTTGTTGAAACTTATGTTTGTATCAGATACGTTCCCATTTATGTTTGAGTTTCAAACCTCCTCCGTGTAGGAATCAGTTTGCGAAACCTCTGGTGGTATGACTATGGTCTTCTCAGTGAGGGATGTAAATGTAGGATCACTTGAATTAGTGTTTGTATCCGTATTTGATACATTTACATTTGCACCAGGATATCTAGTCTCCTCGAAAATCGATGTGACAAGAGAATCCCTTCGAGGTCACCCAAGCCTAAAGTCATCAATGTGCATATCAGACCTTTCATTGTCACTTCCATGATCTGTTTCTATAGTGACTTTGTCAAGTGGGTCTCCAAGTTGTCTCTTCTTCTTCTTAATCTTTTGATCAATTTCTTGGGCTTGATGTTTCTTTGAAGCAGGTGAAATAGGAACAAAAATGTCTCGAAATAGAACACCTCGTCTGTTAAACTGAGGTTTATGAATCTTCTTTATAATATTTTTTTGAAGAATGAGTATGCGAAGACTCATGCTAGGGTTGTGAAATGGTATCAACTTCAAGTTCTAGAACTGATGGCCTAATAGCAGAATGATGAGGTCTCTTAGTTCTTAGTGCATTTGAGAATGCTAGTCTTCGAAGGAATAACTTCCTAAAAGACTTTCTCCTCCACATGTTCTTTAATAGGTTTAGGTTGTACCATTTGCTTCTTTTTCTTTGGTGCTTTAACAACCTTCGACGAAACCCTCTGTCCCTTTCAGCAAAATTTCACTAGTTCTTTGTGCTGTCAAAATTTCATCATTTGCTTCTTTTTCTTTGGTGCTTTAACAACATTCAATAATAGCCACTTCAAATCCAAAAGTTTATTTCATATAGACTTCCTTTATAGATGGTTATCAGGACACTATAGAAGTCAAATTATAATACTCTTGGAAACCAGTATAACTTAGCTTAATTAACACTCATGCAATACCCACTTCTATAGAATACACCTCAGGAATGTTATCAGAGCCAATCAGGGTAGTTCTCCAAGGAGTGAAATTTATAAATATATAAATTCGTGAAATACAACTACTGATGACCATCGTTACTCACAAGATCGTTTCTCATCATGCCACAAAACCACATCTTCACAAGGAGGTAACCAACCAATTAACGAGACACCAATTCTACAGTTAGACTTCGCTACATTTCAGGCCACGGTCACAGTTACCGTGACAGCTGTCATGGAGCAATTCAATGCCAACAACCCAAATGAGAATGGAAACAGTTTCAATACTTCAAACCGTAGTAACACACAAGGAAACAGACAAGGGCCTAGTCATGATGATACTCCAGCTCACAAACTTAAGAATAATAAACGAAAATTCTAGAACAAAAAGGAGTGCAAGTTATCTCAAAAGCTTTCCAAGAGACAACAACATGGGGGAACATCTACAGCCACGACATCTGCCACTCCAGTACCAATGCCAGTACGGCAATATGCTAGAAATCTACCGGATTGCTGGAAATGCAACTTCCACCACTTAGGAAAATGCTGCAAATTGTGATGTATTAAATACAACAGACAAGGACACACCACTCGTTTCTGCAGGGCACCGGCACGATTAATCACCCATGTTCTTGGCATGGAAGTGAGTTAGGTTTGTTATAGTTGTGGCAAATCTGGACATTTCAAAAGATATTGTCCAAGGACTAAAAATGGCGAAGAAGCTCGCTTCGATAAGACCCCGACTCAACACATCACTTCAACTACCGATGCTAGTATAATTCAAGCGTGCCATTCATGTGGTGAAATGGGATATTTCAAAAGAGACTGTACGATAGAAAGAAATGTTGGAGGAGAAGGATGAGTGTAACAGCATGACATATAAGAGCAACGAGGAACCTCCTCCCCTTTTGAGACTTTGGTACATCTTATAAATAAAATTTCTTTAAAGATTTGATCTATATTAATATTAAAATTTGGGGAAATTATAAAGTAATTATAAATAAATCACTCGCCTGAACAAGTCACAACATCCATAAGAGAACTAAAGATCAGCGCAGGTGAGCTATGATGGCTTGGTACGTACATTAGGGTTATGCATAGCTAAGATTTTGCAAAATTAGAGTAAATTATTCCACCTTAATTCATGTTCCTTTTCTGGTTGTGGATTTAGAGCAGAGTCATCCAGTCGACCGTCTTGTTCATCTTAATTATACATAACTTGTATTTGCCAAGCAATCATAAAGCTACCGACAAGAATCATAATATAAAGTATTGCCACTAGTTATCGAAGCACGTTTACTGCAAGTACTCGCTTCTTGCGGTACTTGTAACATCCCGAGTTCAGGGGTCCAAAGTTCAGGGTTTAAAGTGAAAATGTGAATGATCAACTCGGTGAGTCCATGGGTAGACTCGGCGAGTAGGGTCGCAATTCTGGTCGCGTGTCTAGTGGCCAACTCAGCAAGTTGTGTTGTGTGGAGAAAACCTTAATCCCAGGGATTTGGCCCTATATAAACAATATAATACCCTCTCCCTAGCCTCTTTGCTCTCCCTTGAAGTCTAGAAACCCTAATATTCGTTGTGAGAGAATTAAAGAACATTTGGATCTTGAAGGAGTGTTTGTTGAAGAAATCTTTGAAGATTAAGAGGCTTGGAGCAAGGGGCTTTTCAAGGTTTTGACGTATTCTTCTGTTGGAGCCTTCTTTTGAGGTAATGATTCATTGCTTGAGCTGTTATCCATCTAGATCTGTCATTTGTGGGATTTTTGGGTGTATATCTAGTGCTATCTTGAGTTTGGATGTTAGATCTGAGGTTGCTACCTCAGATCTAGAATAGTGATGATCCAAAAGAGCATAAAGTCCCTGTTCAAGAGCTGTTGATGAAGTCTTTTAGCCTCGAACCTTAGCCCAAGAGTGTATTATGCTTAGATCTCCTTGGATTCACGTAAAGTATGCCACTTTACATGATGGATGGCTTGTATAAGAGTAGATCTATGGATTGGAGACCCTGCATGGCTTGGAAAGCCTCTGTATGGGTTAAGAGCTAGTGGTACTCGGTGAGTCACATGGGTGTACTCGGCGAGTTGCAGGAAGATAGGAAGAAACTCAGTGAGTTGGAAGAACAACTCGGCAGGTTGGTTGAAGATAGCCTTGGACTCGGTGAGTCTGTTCTTAGACTCGGCGAGTCTGTTCTTGGACTCGACGAGTCTGGTCTTGAGGTCCTAACGTTTTCTGGTTTAGCTGAGAATCGGTGAGTCAAGGGATGACTCAGTGAGTTAAGTATGGTTTGAAACAGAGTTGTGGGACTTGGCGAGTCTTGGGGCGACTCGGCGAGTTGAGTCGTGTTATGGGAGTTTCAGAGCATGGGGAGTCGACGAGTCAGCAGGTTGACTCAATGAGTAGAGTCAGTCAGGAGGGTTGGCTTTGACTGAGGACTTTGACTTTGACCAAGAGTTGACAATTTGACTTCCAGGGGTATTTTGGTTGTTATTAGTATTTATTGGTTTCGGTGATTCAGTGGTGGAGTTCATGACAGTGGTCGAAGCAGCGTGATCTTATTCTTAAGTTGGCAGTAGCAGGTGAGTCTTCTCACTATACTTTACCTAGAGTGGTAATAGAGTTATTTGACAGAGTTATTGTATCCTATCTATGCTATGTGTGGCACTGCGTTATTTCTATGTGATTTATGCTGTGTGTATATCAGAGTTAGGACCGGAGGGTCCACAGAGCTAGGACCAGAGGATTTACAGAGTTAGGTTTAGAGTTATGTGCCAGTGTAATTGTATGTTATTTATTTTGATAACTAATATGCATGGTTCTGAGTTATCAGAGTTAGCACCTTTGGGTCCATAGAGTTAGAACCAGAGAATCCACACTGAGTTGGGACTAGAGGGTCCCACTGAGACACACATACCAGAGGGTCAATAGAGTTATATCCTTGAGTGGCTAATATGTGTTAGAGTGGTATTTTGGGGAACTCACTAAGCTTCCTGCTTACAGTGTTTTGTGTTATGTGTTTCAGGTTTCTCAGGTTCACGGGACGGCACCGGCTCGATTGTACACACCTAGTTTATTAATTGATTGAACAAAAGAGCTATGTATTGTAAATTAAACAAATGGGATTTTTATGAAAATCGTTAAAGACATAAACTATTTTAATTTTAAAAAAAAAATTGTTTGAAAAATTACGGTGTTACAAGTTGGTATCAGAGCCTTGGTTTGAGGGATTCGGATGCACCTTCGGGTAAATCTGGACTCAAGCTGAGGAAGTACGAAAATTTTCAAAAGAAATGATTTTCTAAAAGTGAATAAGAGTTCAAAGAGGAAGCGAGAAAGAGCAGTGTGTACAATCAGCCAGAGCCCGAACGGTGATTTCCCAAAATACCATTACTTTTGTGTTATGAGATATTTATGATACATTTAT